CAGGATAGAAAGCTGAGTCCTAAATAAGTAAATTGGCTTGCTCAAGAGCTAGTTAATCACACATGCTAGATCAAAACACATGTGACTTCAAAAGAAGCATATAATTTTTAAAAACTTTTATTGTGATTTTGGGGAAAGTTTACTGAGTAAATTGGTTTTCCATTCAACAATTCACACACATTTTGTTATATGATTTTAAGTACAATTCCCAGAATGTAACAGCACTCTACCTACTTCCTCCCTGTGTTCACTGTTTCCATTTGTCCTTCTTTCCTATCCCTTGTTACCTCCTGAGCTTTATGCCAGGGCAAATGCTGCCTTTTTGATCTCCTATGGTTGATTGTTCTAATGAGTTCATACCTCCCTGGTGTTGCTATTCACCTTATAGGCCAGTCTATTATTTGGCTGAAAGTTGACCCATGGGGGTGAGTTCAGTTCAGGCCTGAAGGGTGTCTAAGGGCCAGTCTCAGGTGTTCCATCAGTCTGTAACAAACCAGAAACCCTGTTTTTCTTTTTCCTTAACTTGTTCTACATTATTTTTCCCGCTGTATCCAGGAAGTCTTATTATGATCCTTTTCAGAGCAGTCAGCAGTGGTAGCTGGATACCATCTAATTCTTCTGGTCTCATGTCATGGAAGCTGGGGTTCACTTGGTCTGTTAGTTCTTTGGACCAATTATTTCCATATGTCTTTGATTTTCTTAATTCTTCTTTGCTCCAAACAGAAAGAGGCCAATAGTTGCACTTTAGATGGTTGTTCACAAACTTTTAAGACCCTCGTTGCTACTCACCAAAGTAGGATGTAGACATTGTTTTTGTGGACTATGTTATGCTAATTGACCTGGTGTTCCCTGAGATCACAGTCCTGCGTCGCCAAGCCCAACAATTCATTCCCTCAAGGTGTTTGGTTATAGTTAAGACGTTTTCACATCTTTACCCGCTGTAGAAGCACATAATGGTGCAATGGTTAAGTGCTCCACTGCAAACTGAAAGGTTGGTGGTTTGAACTGCCTAGGTGCTATGAGGGTGAAAGATGTTAAATCTTCTTCCATAAAGATTATAGCTCTGGAGGCCCTATATGAGGCAGTTTTACTCTGTCCTACAGGGTCATTATGAGTCGGAACTGAGTCAATAGCAACAGGTTTACTTATCTAGATAGGTTGATAGAGTTCTCAAAAACTATTTTAGTAATGCGACAAAAACTATTTCAGTAATTTTAGTAATGTGACACTCTGTCTTTAATGCTCATACATAGAACCTTAGAGATCACCTTCCCGGCTGGCATCGAGGCTACAAAACAGAAAGTGTTGTTCTCTCATTGTGTTCTAGAAATATGGATAGTTGTGCTTCTCCTTGTCTCACCCTTTCCCTAAACAGACACAGTAAGAAGCAAAGCTTTTTTTGGCAAATACATCACCAAGTCCTTCCCAAAAGTTGCCCAAGCACTGAGGTTCCCAGGGCACACTTGGCCTGACTGTCTACACATTAATGTAGAGAGCTGGAGGAGAGAAGCAGATACTTTATCGTGTTATGAAGGCAGCCAAAAAAATTCATATCATGATGTAGCTTGACTGATAAAAAGAACATCTGAATTGTTTAAAATTTCCTTAATATTCAGGGAAAACTATACTGACCGTGGTCATGCAATTTGTCATTCAAACAGTAGTTTTATATTTGTAGCATATTCTGTGATAAATTTGGTATTCATGCAGCATCCTGAGATGTACAACAGGGAACTTTACTTTCCATTTATCAGCCTTGTGGCTATGACTTTTCCATTATCTTGTCCAGGCCTTCAAACTAATGAAAACTACAATAAAAATGGTTCTTATGACAATGTTAAAGGGATTGTAACAATGGTGTACATTCCTGAAAACAAACTAGTGAACTTACCAAATGTGGCAAAACTGAATCGTATGTGACATCAAAGGCAGAATCAGATCAATTGGGAGGAAGTTAAGGCAATACATAAAAATTTAGAGTAAACATAATGAAATTTTTTTATAAATCCCAGCAGTTGGCTGGAGCTGCCCCACAGGGCAATCTACTGCTTTGACTAGTCCTAAGCGACTTGACACTGTATGGTTCAAGTATGATCATCATTTGCAGGTGGGGGCACTATTCTTTGGGAATTTGGGATTTTAAAAATGCAAAAGCACATAGTTTTCTATGCTTCCTTTTAAATTACCTTCTATACTATGAAAAAATTAACACTGAAAACATTCCAGTAGTTTTTATTTAATAAAAGATGTTCTCTTTTGGCAAGATTTATTTCTTGATCAGAAACATACCAGACTATAAACAAAGCTGTCACTAAGATACAGGCCATTCATCGAACATTAATAAACTGTACTCCATAAGGATTATAAAATCTCGATGGTTGTCTTAATTGGATATTATTTTATACATGCATTTTTTCCCATCTCACTAGGAAAGTTAGAGCCCATTTCTAGTTACTTCATTTATAACACAACGTCTGTCAATTAAGTTTGATTGCCAGCAACATGTCTCACCTAGGTTATTTTGGAAATATATAATGGGGGAAAAAATTCCTTTATCAAGAATAACCCCTGAATAATGTGAAAAGGCACAAGTGAAAACTAACTCTAGGCTGAAGAAAATTTGTTTAGTGTGCTGGCAATTTAGCAACCATAGCTCCCATTGACTTTACCATTTTCAAATTGTGTGATCGACCTCTAGTGGTCAGAGTATGTTATTTACTCTACAGGATCCAGATTGTGTTCATGTTCACTTTATTGAAGAATTACTTTGAAATTTAGTATCATATATTGACATTTTATATTTTAATTCTGTTATAATGATGCTATTAATAGTATATATATATATTTATATATATAGAGAGTATATATATATATATACACAAATACACACTAGTAAGTAGATGGTTATCATTTATAATATACATATAATTGCTAAGAAATAAATTTATGGAAGAAAATCCAATGGAGTTTGTGTCTTTTGTGATACATCATAAAAAAAAAGAAGAAATATGTCATGCACTTTAGGATTTACCTTCCTGTGCCTGAGCTAAATTATAAAAAAAGAGCTCAGGGACATGGAATTATAGGGTGTGAAGAAATACCATCTACTTAATCTGTCTTAAAGAACTTTATCTTAAAGAGCTATCTACTTAATCATCTGACTTCTTATGTAGTTGAGCCTGTATTGTTTGAGAACGATGCTAGCCCAGTATGCTTTCCAGGCCTTGTGACCCTTAGTATGACATTTATTTCTTTTTCTCATAGATGGAGAATGAATAATGGGGATATTGATCTGACAAGTGATCGATACAGTATGGTGGGAGGAAACCTTGTCATCAACAACCCTGACAAGCAGAAAGATGCTGGAGTATACTATTGTTTAGCATCAAATAACTATGGAATGGTCAGAAGCATTGAAGCAACCTTAAGCTTTGGATGTAAGTAGTTGTTACTTAAAAAAAAAAAAAAAGATAAAGGTATTTAGGTGAAGTAAGCATTAAGTGTATTTTAATTATTGGCAATAATCTACATAGTGACCCCTCCTTGGGTTACCTAAGTGGTATGTCTACAGAAGTAGATTGCCCAATCTTCCTTCTGAGGAGAGGCTGCTGGGTTTGAACTGTCAGGCTTCTGGTTAGCAGTCAAAAGCCTTAGCCACTATGCCACTAGAGCTCGTCCTACATAAACTAGAATGATAAATTTGCAATTACCTACTCTTTGGGATTTTCCAATTTTATTAAAATACTTCTACTTACCTCTCTCAGTGAAAATGGACTCTTCTGCCTCAACATTCCAACAAATTTTGCTGAATGCTTATTGTGTAGAATTTTAAAGAGGACATATTCCCTTTCCACAAACAGTTGCAGTTTGTTGGCAGTAAAACAGGTCATACACACATGAAAACTTTAAATTAAGATATGAGGAAGTTTGACCTTCAAAGTAGATATCAATAAGTGCTGTTACAAGAACTTATCAAGAAGAAAACTCAAGAAGGAAGGAATGTGAGGAGAAGGTTCCACGAATGGAGTGGATCTTATATAATTAATTGGCCTTAATTGTGTGGTGAAGAAAAACTTTTGAGAGAGCAAAGTGTCATGAGGGGTATTTTGAACATACTTGAAATAGTCAGAATGTTGGAAAGTAAAGCTAAACATTTTAAAGGCTCTGGAAAGGCTCTCTAAAAAAGTAGTATTGGTGGAAGTGCTAAATTATGATTCTAAATGGGGGAAATATCACCCCCTGTTCTGATTACCTGGTACCGCTCTGACAGGAATATACCACAAATGAGATGGCCTTAACAAACAGGAGTTTATTCTTACAATTTGGAGGCTTTAAGTCCAAGTTCAAAGTGCCAGGTTCTAGGGGCTGGGTAAAAGCCCTTCAGCCTTGGGCTTCAGCTCTGCCTCCAGCTCCCAGCCCACTGAAGCTAGAGGCTTTTCTTCACTCTGACAGCTGCTGGCTGCTGAGGCTGCCAAACCCAAGGTTGACAAGTAAAAAGGCACTGTTCCAATGTTACCAAACCACATGACAGGCCATTAATTCAAGTCCAGTGTAAGTCCCAAGGTTGGCAGAGCATGGCAGGCTGCTGAACAACGACATGGCTACATGCAGGGTCCAAGCATGCCAAAAGCTAGAGACCATCCCAAGGCTTCTCCTTATATACAGGAAGCAGACCACATCCCCAAGATAGCTACTCAGCTGCTTGTGGTAGATTCCGCCATGGAGTTGATTGCCAGTCTTATCATGGGGAATAACTGCCACCAGCAGGCCAGACACTCAACCAGACCCACCCAAGTTGATATGCAAATTTAACTACCACAACCCCCAACAGGGTGAAAATGTATTCTTGGATAAGTATTGTGTCCCTCCAAAACACAAATCCTACCTGACAAAATCATATTACTTAATATTTAATTTCCTCCTGTTGGAGGAAATTTAATCAATTAAATTATTTTAAATTAATATTTCTTCCTTATGGGGGAAATAGTGAAAAACACTTTGAGGAAAACTGTGCTAAGCTAAAAATTGGAGGTTACTCTGAAGGAAACTTGTCCATTGGGGGAGGAATTAGACCGGATGATCTCCAGTATGTGATTTTGTGAATTAGCATTGAAATTGTTTGTAAAGTAGACTATAGAATGAAAATGATGTTTTTAGAAGCCCGATCTGTCCTGGAAAAAGTGTAGCCAGAGTGCTCATTAGAAATGAGAATGACCAGGCTTCATCTTAGCTACTTTGGTCATGTCAGAAGGGAACATTTGCTAGAGAAGGATGTCATGCTTGGTAAAGTCAAATGTTAGTGAAAAAGGGGAAGACCCTCAATGAGATGGATTGACACAGTGGCTGCAACAATGGGCTCAAGCATAGCAAGGATTGTGAGGATGTGCAGGGCAGGGTAGTGTTTCATTCTGTTGTACACGGGGTCGTTGTGAGTTGGAGCTGACTTGACAGCACCTAACAACATGTGACGGTGATTACCAGGAAGGAGTAAGAGAGTCAGCTAGAGCAGTCAGATTATATTAGTGTTATGACAAAGGGAACATCAATAGTACAGAAAAACCTTGAAGAAATACTTGACAGATTGTGCTGCACTGAAGGAAAGAAGGCCACTAAATATTTCTTCAAGTAAAATTTAGTTAAAGGACAGAAATATTCTGTTCTCATTAAAAAAGGGATGTGAGGGAATAAAACCAACTTCAAGGATGAGGGAAGTTTAAATGGTTATTTCACATACAGAGGTCATGATGGCATTGAATTATCCAAGTCAAAATGTCAAGTAGACATTCAAGGCGAGGCATTCAACTGAAGCATCAGACTCCAGATTTGAAGGGCCCTCTGCAAGAAAGTAACAATTAGAATAGATACATTTTCAGAGGTATACAATCTATTGAGAGGAGTGAAAATCAGATAATACAGTTTGAGAACTGATCATAAATAAGGAATAGGACAAGAGGCAGGACTTAAATGGAATAAACTACAGTAAAACAAATGAAGAATCAAAATAATAGAGTATCAATGAATAAAGGAAAATATGAGTTCCAAATACATAGTTGGGTAAAGGAAGGAAAACCCAGCATTTGAAAAGGTGATTGGTGACCTTCAAGTTATTTGACTGCTAACCAGAAGCCTGGGGGTTCAAATCCACTAGCCACGCCTTAGAAGGAAGGTTGGGCAATCTATTTCTGTAGTGATACTGCCTTGGAAACCCAAGGAGGGGTCACTATGAGTCGGCTCAGACTTGAGAGGAGTGAGTTTGGGTTTGTTTTTCTTTTTTAAGTTCCCCATGTAAGGTTCCAACATCCAAGTCCTTTCTTGGGAAGGAAACTATTGTATACCTTAAGTTCATTGCTATATAGTTAATTTCTTTGATAGATCCCTATTTTTCTTTCTGAGTCTATTACATTTTTAGATAAGCAATCTGAGATTGTTCCTAAATCTGACGCAAAAGTCTTTAAGATGTTTGAAATCTTCAAGTTTGCCAGAATATTATGCAAGCTGCTATCAATAGGCATAGGCTTTGAGTCCACCAGGCCATAGCACATGGAAACCTCAGCATGTAAGAACAAGAAGTTGACTCTCAACAGTGTCACTAAACTGAGAAGTACTTTATCAACAAATGAGTTAGTTGCTAAATGGTAAAATTTAATGAGTGCCTGTCTTTCTGTTGACCAGAAAACAAATGCTTTCTTTATTTTTTTCATAATTAGATCTTGATCCTTTCCCACCTGAGGAACGCCCTGAGGTCAGAGTTAAAGAAGGAAAAGGAATGGTGCTTCTCTGTGACCCTCCATACCATTTTCCAGGTAAATTTAGTTCCTCTGCAACTACAGGCAGTCCTCGAGTTATGAATATCCGACTTATGTACAACTTTTAGTTACAAATCAATCTCTGAAAGGCCTTTTATAATAAAATTTCAAAGTACATATACAAATTTGTAATAAATGGGTGCTACTTTGTGACACACACCACAACATTGTAAGTATTATTAATGTATCATTATGTTAAAGGTGTTTTAGTGTATCTGGAAATTTTTTCTTTAATGTTTTTTATCCATAGAAAGCTTCCTGTTGGTGTGGAGTTAACTGCAACTCTTAGCAATCCTATAGGATAGAGTAGAAGTGCCCTATAGAGTTTCCAAGTCTATAAATCTTTACAGAAGATTTATAGACTTCTCCTACAGAGAAGCTAGTGGCTTCAAACTGCCGACATTTAGGTTAGCAGCTGAGAACTTAACCACTGCACCAGCAGGAATCCTTTATAGAAAGTTACACTATACACGAAGACAAACATTTGACTGATGTTAGATACGAACTATCTATGTATCAATTTACATACATGATAGCCTTTCTGGAAATTATTCCTAAAATAGAACAGTATCAATGAATATATAATCGGTCATTTTATAAATAATTTAACATTTACCATATACTGTGAACTGTAATTAAGCACTAAAAGTAATAAAGATATCATAAATTATTAATCTCTTTAGGAGCACCAATATGCAAGAATAATCATCCAGTTTAGAAAAAGGACTATATTAAGTGGCACTGGCCACAAGTTTCAGTTGTTGAATAGATGTTTTTCGTAATTTGATATGGCTAAAATAATAGCCACCAAAGTAGTAATATAGAAGATAAAAGCTACTTTACCTTCACTAACTTCCATATCTCTTAATTTATCACATATTAGTTTGAAATAATATATGAACAGCACTTTTCATGTGGAAAGAAAATAAATGTTTTGTATTCTTATATTTGTAATATGATGTTATAAATTTGACATTGAATGTACGTTCTATTATAAGTCATTTTATATTAATACATACATATGCATAAGTAGTGCCTAAGGCGTTTGACTGCTAACGAGAAGGCTAGTTGTTCAAACCCCATCAGCCACTCCTGGGAAGGAAGATTGGGCAATCTACTTCTGTAGAGATAACACCTTGGAAACCCAGGGAGGGGTTGCTATGAATCAAGATTGACTCAACAGCAGTGAGGTTTTTGTTTTTTTTAAATGCATATACGTGTGTGTGTGTGTGTGTGTGTGTGTGTAAAAAACACATACACACGCACATACATATGTATGGATATATTTCCTCAGAGAACTTCTAATGAGAGAGATAGAGAATAAACAAGATGAGTAATTAACACACACAGCATGTTAGACTTTGATAGATAAGTGCTAAGGAATAAAAAATAAATGGAGAAGGAGAGGAAATTTTGAGGGTGATGGCTGAATATTAGAAAGGGTATTACTGAGAAAGTAATTTTGAATGAAGGTCTGAAAGAAATGAAAGTGCTAATAATACAGGTATTTGAAAGAAGGATAGGTAAGGCAGATGAAGCATTCAGGGAGTACAGAGGCATGAGATGAGATTATAGAGAAAAAACAAGGAATCATGGATTGTTGTAATAGAGTGAATAAGGCAGTAGTAGCATAGTGCCTAAGGCATTTGACTGCTAACTAGAAGGCTGGCGGTTCAAACCCACCAGCCACTCCTCAAAAGGAAGGTTAGGCAATCTACTTCTGTAGTGATACTGCCTTGGCAACCCAAGGAGGGGTCGCTATGAGTCGGAGCCGACTCAACGACACACAACAACAACAAACAATAACAGTAAGGAACAATGTGAGAGATGTACAAGAGCTGAATGGTGTAAGTCTTTGTAATTACTTTGGGTTTTACTTTGAGTGGGATTTATATCAGAGGTCTTTGAGCAGAGGAGTTATATGGCATGTCTTAAGTTATAGAAAGATGACTGTGTCTACTGCTTTAAGAAAGAACTGAAGGTAGGACAAGGGGAAAGTAGGGAGATCAGTTAGTTAGGAGGCATTGTAATAATGAATAATAATGTAATAATGAAGATCAGAGCAGTGATGGTAAAGGTGGGAAGAAGTGGTTAAATTCTGGATATATTTTGAAGGAAGGGTCAAGAGAACTTGATGTGATGAGTGAGAGAGATATAGGAATTAGGAAACATCAAAAGTTTTGTCATAATCTGAAAGAATGGAGCCACCATTACCTAAACTGAAGGAATCAGTGTGGATATGTGAAATGTGAGGTGTCTATTATATTTCCAAGTGGTGCTGTTGAGTTGGAAGTTCTGTATATGTGTGTGGAGTTCAGGGGAGAGGTCTGAGTTAGGAATATCAATTTCTGAGTCATCATTATACAAATTGTTTTAAAAGCCATGGGACCACATGTTATCTTCTAGGGAATTAGAGTAGATAGAAAGAGGAATAGTTCTAAGGAAGAGGTCCTGAGATTTATCAACTCTTGCTTTCACAGTCTGCATAGCATCTTAATCATTGTATTCAGTGAAGAATTTCATGGACCAAAACAAGGTTCTTGTCCTCTTCATATAGGCAGAAACTTGAAACTCTTAAGTCAAAAGAGTTAATTACCTTTCCATTCCAATAAATATTTACAAATTTACATGAAAAAATTCTAATTTGGCCTTCTAAATGAGTACAAGAAACACCATTAATCACAGAATAGAAATGGAACCTTTTTGATCACTTTCTGTCATTTTACATCATTTGTTGGAAGGTGTCATCGAGTTGGTTCCAACTCATAGTGACCCTATGTACAGCGTCTCCATACACTGCCTGGTTCTGTGCCATACTCACAGTTATTGCTGTTCTTGAGCCCATTGTTACAGCCACTGTGTCAATCTATGTAGTTGAGTCTTTTAAACTGAACTTCTACTTTACCAAACATGATGTCTTTTAGTACTTTTAAAATCTCTTTAAACATTAGACATTCCACCTTTAAATATAAAAATAAACATTTGTTTTGAAACCATAGTGTATGTGTGTGTGTACTATTTTATCAACTCAATGTCATAAATCTTCCTACTTCCTTATTACAAGTAAATAAAGGTTTTGTGCTTTGCAGCTTGGAACTTCATTGGGTTGAGGGGAAAAACAAAACTATCTTTGGCTTCTGAAGCTCTTAGATTATTTATGTAATTTCTCTGGTTGTCTAGCCTTTTTGCTATAGTTGGTGACTGGTAACCTGGAATCCTCTCATTATGCCAAATAAACATGGGCATACTACTGAATCTCTCTCCATCTCTATTTTCTCATTGAAATTTAGGTTAATAATTCCTGTGCCACTTACATTAAAGATCTTGTGTTGACATCCTCCTGGTCAATGTACAGGTTCCTCATGAGTACAATTAAGTGTTCTGGAATTTCCATTCTTCTCATTGTTACCCATAATTTGTTATGATTCACACAATCATATGCTTTTGCACAGTTAATAAAACATAAGTAAACATTTCTGGTATTCTTTGCTTTGAGTCAAGATCCATCTGACATCAGCAATGATGTCTCTTGTTCTGCATCTGCTTCTGAATCCAGCTTGCATTTCTGGAAGTTCTCTATCAATATACTGCTGCAACTGTTTTTGAATTATCTTCAGCAAGATTTTACTTGCAAGTGATATTAATGATATTATTTGATAATTTCCACATTCTGTGCTATCACCTTTCTTTGGAATAAATATTTTTCTCTGGAGAAAATACAGATCTCTTCCAGTCAGTTGGCCAGGTAGCTGTCTTCCAAATCTCTTGGCATAGCTGAGTGAGTGCCTCCAGCAGGGCATTCATTTGTTGAAACATCTCAATGGGTATTCTGTCAATTCCTGGACCCTTGTTTCTTACCAATTCCTTCAGTGCAGTTTCAACTTCTTCCCTTAATACCAATGGTTCTTGATCATATATATGCTACCTCCTGAAATGGACAAAAACTTACCAGGTCTTTTTGGTACAATGACTGTATATTCCTTCCATCTTCTTTTGATGCTTCCTACATCACTCAATATTTTGCTCATAGAATCTTTTTTTATTACAACTTGGGACTTAACATTTTTTCTCAGTTCTTTCAGCTTGAGAAATAGCAAGCGTGTTCTTTCTTTTTGGTCTACTAACTCCAGGTTTTTGCATATTTCATTGTAGTAATTGGCTTTATCTGCTGAAACTGCTCTTTGAAATCTTCTGCTCAACTCTTTTTTTCTTGTCATTTCTTCCATTTGCTTTAGGTACTCTCTGCTCAGGGGAAAGTTTCTGAATCTCTTCTGGCATCCATTTTGGTCTTTTCTTCCTTTTTCATCTTTTTAATGACCTCTTGCTTTCTTTATGGATGATGTTCTTGATGTCATCCCATAATTCTTCTGGTTTTTGGTGATTGGTGTTCAATGCATGAAATCTATTCTTTAGATGGTCTCTAAATTCAGGAGGAATATATTCAAGATCATATTTTGGCTCTCATGGACTTGTTTTAATTGTCTTCAACTTCAAGTTGAACTTGCATATGAGCAGTTGGTTTTCTGTTCCACAATCAGCTCCTGGTCTTGTTTTGGCTAAAGATATTGAGCTTTTCCATCACCTCTTGCCACAGATATAGTCAGTCTGATTCCTGTGTACTCCATCTGGTGAAGTCCATGTGTATAGCTGCTATTTGTGTTGTTGAAAAAAGGTGTTTGCAATGAATAAGTCATTAGTCTTGCAAAATTCTGTCATGCGATTTCCAGCATTATTTCTGTCACCAAGGTTAAATTTTCCAACTACTGGTAATTCTTCACTTCTAACTTTTGCATTCCGATTACCAGTTATAATTAACACATCTTGATTGTATGTTCTGTTCATTTCAGACAGCAGAAGTTGATAAAAATCTTCAATTTCTTCATGTTTGGTTTTGGTGTTTGATGTGTAAATTTGCATAATCATAGTATTAACTGGTCTTCTTTGTAGGCATATGGATATTATCCTATCACTGACAGCATTGTTCTTCAGGATAGATC